TATGAATTTAAAAATTTTAATGCGTCGCAAAGCGCTAATTTTAAGGAGCGGAAATTTTTTTTAATGGGCGCCCCCAGTATACCAAGATAGGCTTAGATAGTATTTGGCCTTTTTTTCAGTTTTGCTAGACAAAATTTACAACTTGGTTGGCTGGTAGTCACATGATTAGACACGGCTTTAATTTTTCATATTAACGTTAAGTCTAGTTTTATCAGTTTAATATATGCAGGTAAAACTCTAATTTATAATTTATTAATAAAGTAACATTTGTTTGGATGTAATTTTATCGTTCATTCCATATAATAATATATACATAAATTACATAAATTTTCAATATTAATTTTTATGCTGTTAAAGCATACAGTACTATATGTAGTTTTAAACTTATCGTTTGTATTTTTTTTTTTTGTTTCCAAATACTAGTAACCAGTTTTTGCAAGGCTACTATGTCCAATTGTTTTAAAAGTCAATTGGATATCAAATTTGTCGATAATACGAAAATTAATTTAGTCTTTATCTCTTTATTAGTATTAGCTTTAAGAAAAGTTTTTATACTTTGATAAATAGTTTTGACATACGACAATTTTATCATTAGAATTTGGAAAAAAATATTTCATTTTGAATCTCGTGAATTAAAACCACTTATAATAATATCGGCACGTGCCTCAACATTTTGGAAAATTTTTATCACTCGTCATTTGAAAGGGTTTAAAAATCATCATATAGTACATGATTTTTTATTTATATATATTCTATTAGTCTATCAGTCTTTTTTAAATTAAAACTTTAATTTAAGCTAGGTCCGAACGATTACGACTGAATCGTTAGGTTCTTGATTCCTTACCGTCCGATCCCAGTCGAAGAATCAATCATTTGGTGTATGTTGATCATTTGGTGTATTCTGATCATTTGGTGTGTTGTGATCATTCGGTGTGTTGTGATCATTCGGTGTGTTGTGATCATTCGGTGTATTGTGGTCATCTCGTGTGTTTTGTGTATCTGACGGTCGTTCAATCCGTCTTCTTTTGCTCATGATACGCTTCACTTCATCTTCATGAAGCCCTTCATTTATTAGCAATTCTACTTGACTGGTTTCCTCATCTTCAGGAACTCTGTAGGAATATTTCAAAAAAGTTGTTTTTCCATAATTCTCTGGTACTCGAACTCTCTCCTATAATGACAAGTAAAATCAGTAAAAAAAAAAAATAGTGAATGTTAAGTATAATGAATTATTATCTTATATTATTACTTACTGTTTGTCGTCTACGTTTCATATTCCACCTAACTGCAAAAGGAACGTAAACCATTACTTTCTCTTTTGTTTCATCTTCGTCAACATGACGTTCCATAAATAATAGTTGTGAATTTTTTGGAATTTGATTCTTATCAGTAACATAATCTCTAACCCATTTATAATTATATTCCTTTAAAAATATTGACATAATCAATAAATGATAATGATATAACAAGCATAAAAAATTTTTTAATTTAAAAAAATTATATACGAACTCCTTGACAATCATCGTATGATCTAAGATTTGATAATCTTTGTGCAGTTTCAGCTGATGGGACATATAACATCAAAAATTTCTCATTTCCAGACACTACTGGATTGATTAATGCCTTACGAATTCGCTCTGGTCGATTTTTCCCATGATCCTATAAATATTTATTAAATGTTCTGATGATAATTTTTATATAAAATTGAAATATATTGAAATCTCGATCTCACTTCATCGTCTTCCAAGAGCAGTCCTTCCCAAGGATCATTATCAAAACTGGCTTGTACAACCACAATATGTTGATATTCAAATTCTGGTAATACAGAAAGAATTTCTTCAGGTGTTGCATTCGGATTTTTAGGATGTATAAGTTTTTTAAGTTCATCTGGATCATTTGCGATTCTAAAGGTTTCTTCAATTGCGGCAATCTGTTCTTCGTGACTTTGCTCTAAATCCATCTGATTGACTTTTAAAGTGGCCATGCTATAAAAAGTTTAATCATGAACATTCTATGTTAAATATCAGAAATAAATTTAATTAGCAATTCACATAAGAGCAGGAAATTTAAGTTGGGGATAAATAACTATATAGTTTTAATAGTAATATGGAATCCAATTTTCCAAAATTATATAGTAAAAAGATTGTTTTTTTAAAAAATATTTTATCTGACTTTTAACAAAAAGAGCCAAATACCATATTTTTATGCCTATATAGTTTTGTTGTAAGTGGGAATAGAATCATAATAGGTTCGGGAATCCACTTAGATTAGAACGGAATAATTAAAATCCCAACCCTAAACTTAATTCCGAATCAACTTAAATTCTATTCCCACTTACGACAGTTTAATATTATATTATATTTCAACTATATATTACAGGGAAACTGGATTGCATATTTTGAAATATATTATAGTAAAATTTCCTGTTCTTACGTGAATTGCTAATTAAAATAAAAAAGCAAGTCATAGATATTCACCGACTTTCCATAGTTTTATCCGTATTATCGGCACGATATACGGTTTCAGATGCACTTATATACTGAGTTCTACGCAACCATGGCTTTGGTCTATTTGAATGCCTTTTCAATTGTGCTAATCCCTTAATCACATTTGCATGATCTTTGGGTGGAACAACTAGACAAGTATCTTTAGAGTCTAGATGACCGATTCTTCTAGGGTTTATTTCTACCAATTAAATAAATAAATGAATAAATAAAAATTTATTTTAGAATTACTAATTTAAAAGCTCCTAACAAGAATTCCGACGAACCATAATCTTCTCCGTGAAAAGCACTAGGAACAGAACTTAAGTCATATGTCATCCCTAAATCAGTGTCACTGAGTAAAGAAAGGCGCTTCGTTTGAAAAGTACGTGCAACTCGATTGATATTGGTTATTCTTTCCAGATCTGGTTTCCATACCAGATCCAGCGGAGAATCAATGGGTGGAGGAATTAGGTGTCGATATTTCAATCCGCATAAATAGCTATAATCCGAACGAACTTTTCTATTCTGAACATTATTATTACTTTTTAAGGCAGTGGAAGGAAAGGGTTAACCAAGGTGTAAACTATATAAGAAAATCATAAATTTTAGATATAGTTACTTTGGTCTTGTTGACATGGTTCTAACTTTAAAATGATAAACGATAAAAAAAAGCCGTATTGTACAAGAGCAACTCAATGTTCTTTTATTGTCTATCATAATTAACCACGTGTTAATCATATTTTAATAGGTCCACTTAAGACAATGTCTATGTCATAGGGCGACTTATAATTAGATCTTCCCTATTTCCTATTAAATTATTATAAAAAAGTGATATCGCTCAAATTTTTATTTATCCTGAAGTATTTAATATTTTCAAATTCTAAAAAGCAGCAACGTTGCATTTTACATATTATATTTTAATATATTTTATACTTAGCTTATTGAATATTATGGTCGCCAAATTAAAGATGATCCTCATATAAGTAGCTAATCATTATAATTTTTTTTATATAATATGTAAAATGTACTTTTTGAATATATGGGGGGCTGCCAGTAGAAACCAAGCAAATTGTTTTTAATGAGTTTTTTTAAAATTTTAAATTAAAATATCTCAACAACTATTAAATTAAACTTGATAAATTTTTTTTATTTTAATTATATAACTACATAATTGGTTTAATAGTTGTTGAGATATTTTATTTTAAAGTTTTAAAAAAATTTACTTAGAAACAATTCTACTGGCAGCCCCCCATATGTTTCATAAAGCATGAACAGTTTACAGAATTTGATACTTCAAGAGAAATAAAAATTTGAGCGATATCACTTTTTTATAATAATTTAATAGGAAATAGTGAAATCGGAAGATCTAATTGTAAGTCGGAAAATTAATGATCTTCACTATGTAGATACCAAATGTCAGATTAATTATTACCGCTAATCTGATATGTAGTGCTTATTCACGATAGGATATTTAATTTTTTTATTTCTATTAACAACGTTATAAGTTTGAATCCTTGTAAGAATAAGATCTCTATAAATAATACCTTGAGTATAATAGTAAAACCATTACATCAAATTTTTTTTAGTAAGTTTCGGCCAAAACCCTGACTATAGATCATCAAAACACTTGCCACGTATACTCTTTTTTAGCAAGATCTACTCAAGAAAAAGTGCCCGGGTAAAATCGAAGTTTCGAAAATCATGTGGTATTGTCAATTCATCATGTGATAATAATACTTTAGAAATGATTTTGTTTCCTTCGACTCTTCAAAATGTAAAACGATCATTGCAATCTTTTAAAAACATAAAATCAAATAACCAATATTCTAAAAATACACCTTGTTCATCGTAACCAAAATCCCACTAATGATAAACGAAAAAAGAAATAAAATTATAAAAACTAATCAGGCAAATGCAATTACATCAGAAAATCTTATAGATTTTATTTTGAATCTCTTCCGGAAGACTATAACTGATTTCTTATTTGAGTAAAAAGTTTTATAATTCTGAATCCAGAACGCAACAAAAAAATTATTGAAGTTAATCCAAATGGTAACAAATGGATCGATAATAAAAATTTTGAACCATTGCATAAATTGGAAGAGGATTATAATCATTTTAAAAGGCAATGGAATATTCCAAATACTTAGAAAAATCGTAATAATAATACTTTATGACTGTGAAATAATAAAATGATTAATTTATTGCTTATCGTTATTATTTTTTAGTCTATAAATTTTTTGTTTGATCAAGCTAAATGACTTTTTGGTGCTCGATATATTTATCATGTGATGATCGAAACTTTTTTGGGTTTGAAATTGTTGACTTCAAAGCTGGCCAAATAATCTGCAAATTTGACCAGCGTTACGGCTCTTGGGTTTTTCTATTTATCAAAATTTCACAAATCCGCCAACATGGATGTAACAACTTCACACAATACAGTAGATTTTTAATTGGCAAAAAATTATTTAATCATTCGTGCAAGATATTTATTAAAAAAAGTGCTAAATCCGTTCATTTTTTTTCAGGAGTTGTTGTGCAAATAGTTAACCGGTGCTGTTCATAATCATATTTTCGTTTTTTCAATCCTGCATCAATGAACGTTCTCCTATTTTGATTTTCTTTTGAGTTTATTACAACTTTCAGTGTTTCCAAAACTCGACTCTAAATTTATAAACAGGCAAGCATTAGGTGAAAATATTGAAAATATTGAAAATATATGTCAACAAATAACATAAGACTAACCTTTAAATTAAGAATAGACGCCAACATGATAAGAATAGATGGAAACTTTTCCGGTGTATCCGGTACCTCCATTAATTCACTGCGACGAATTCTGCAAATATATCCCTTGGGGCTGTCAATTACCATTATTAGCCCTAATATTGAAATGTTATTTAATGTTAAAGGATAGAATTTAGCATAATTAGTTAAATACATGAGCAAAAACCATACCGGCATGAACAATTCCAACCGTTTCAATTTTATCGTATTTGGCTGCGTTCCATTTAACCTTTTCCATTAACTTCATAATCATATCTTTTAAGCCTTTTGGAAGTTTTGTACCAGATTCTTTTAAAAACTTGGTGCCATATTTGTCTTTCCAACTATGTCCTGCTTCACCGACTCCAAATTCATCATTATCACCTTTACCATTTGATCTTAAAATCCAATCGCCTCTACGACCCATTCTACGTCTTGTACCCGTTTTTCTATTTCTATTTTTTCGAAGTGAGCTGGCAATTCCCGAACTTTCCCCCCTTGATTTGCAAATAAAATTGCACTTTTATCAAACAAGTTACCCAACAAACGAATAAAATTAAATCAGGTTTACCTGACAACTGAAATAGTTTTCACATTTCCAAATGCTTGATCAAATACAAAATTCCAAATGTGAATATTATACCATGATTCGAGGTTGTTGCCGCATAATTTCCCACTTTCTATTTCTCGTACCCTGGAAAATAATTTTTACACCAGTATTAATTCACACAAACACAAAAATTATTGGTGTAGCAATAAAGTTACATGGGTTACTTTAGGGATGGGTTCGACTACGAACGGCTACGATTATTCATAGCCAATTTGCTAAATACTGAGATGATTTTTTGTTCTT